GATACATTATGTACAAGTATAAATGTGATCATTATGTATATCTAAAATGTACCAATAATATTAATTCATTAAAAAATTAATAAAGAAATATCAAACCTGAACCACACCTTTGAACACATGTACTTAATAGATATTTGCAGGTATTCCAACCCTCTACAACAGAATATTCATTCTTTTCTGCAGCAAATGATATTTTATCTAATATAGATCACACACTACTCTACAAAGCCTGCTTACATAAATATAAAAGAATTGAAATCACCCCATGCATACTATCATACCACTGTGCAATGAAAACAGAAATCAACAACAAATTTTAGAAAATACAAAAGCTCCTGGAAAATTAACAACATACTCCTAAAGAACCAATGGGTCATAGAAGAAATCAAAGAAAAAACTTAAGAATTTTTCTGGAAGATAATGGCAATGATTGTACAACTTACCGATACCTCTGGGGTACTACGAAAGCAGTTCTAAGAGGAAAACTCTTTGCAATCAATGCCTACATTAATCTCATTTGATGATTCCTGCCATTATTTTTTTGCAGTTGAGGTTCTGTTTAGAAAATCCTTTCCTACATCTATGTCTTCATGGTAGACTTCAAGATAAAAGTGATTGGAAAAGAGAATTGAAAGGGATGCAGAGGGGCTGGGGATTTAGCTCAGCGGCAAAAGCGCCTGCCTGGCAAGTGCAAGGTCGTGAGTTCAGTTCCCGGTACCGGAGAAAAACCGAAAAAAAAAAAAAAAAAGAAAGGGATGCAGAGCTCCCACATTTTTTATAGAAGCCAGTATTATTCTGATCTCCAAACCAAAGACTCAAGTAAAAGATATTTATTACTGCTTGAGTTTCATTGTTTGTTATTAGGTTGTTAAACACACTTATGTCTTCTTGGGTTAGTTTTGGTAATTTGCATGCATTTAAGGGTCTGTCTATTTCTTCAAAATTTGCTACTTTTTGGAATATAATTTTCTAAAGTAGTTATTGTCTTCTGGATTTCAACAGTATCTTTGGTGATTTCACATTTTCAGTTCTAATTGAAGTGATGTGAGATTTTTCTCTCTCTTGTAACTCTGGCTAAGAGGTTATCTGTTTTATTTATTCTTTCAACAAACCAGCTCTTCAGTTCATTTTTTTCACTCAATTTGATTGATTTCTGGTCTCCTCTTTGAAAGGGATGCAGTGCTCCCACATTTTTTATAGAAGCCAGGATTATTCTGATCTCCAAACCAGACAAAGACTCAAGTAAAAGAAAAAAAAACTATAGGCCCATCACCTTAATGACCATAGATGTAAAACTTCTCAACAAGGTATCAGCAAATAGACTGCAGCACATCACTGAAAAGATCATACATCATGATCAAATTTCATCCCAGAGATACAAGGATGGTTCAACATAATTAAGTCTATAAATACGATACATCACATAAACAGCAGCAGGTCAAAAACCATATGATCACATCTATAGATGTGAAAAAAAGGCCTTCAACAAAATTTAACACCCCTTCATGATAAAAACCACGATGAAAACAGGTACACAAGGAACATACCTGAATATACTAAAAGCTACGTATGACAAACCAAGAGCCAAATGGGAAAAAACTAAAAGCATCCCGCCCACCCAAAATCATTAATGAGACAAGGATATCCACTATTACCACTTCTATTCAACACAGTACTTGAAAAACAGACACAGCCATCAGGCAAGAGGAAGAAATACATAGAGGAAAAGGACACATATAGGAAAAAAAGAACTCTAATTCTCATTATTTATAGATGCCATGACACTTTACATAGAAGACCCAGAGAATGCTACCAAAATCTTCTTAGAATTAATAACCAACTCAACAATCTAGCAGGATACTTGATCAACATGCAAGATCATTAGCATGTGTCTACACCAACAATGAACTCAATGAGAAGGAAATGATGAAAACAATACCATTCTCAGTCGCTTTAAGTAAAATCAAATGCCTAGGAATTAAACTAACCAAGGAAGTGAAAGACCTCTACAAAGAAAACTATAGTACTCTGAAAAAGGAGATGGAGAACGACATCATAAAACAGAAAGATATCCTGTACTCCTCTATAGGCAGAACCAATAATGTCAAAATGGCCATACTCCCAAAAGTGTTATGCAGATTCAATGGAGTCCCAATCAAAATAATAACAGTATAGTTTACAGAACTAGAAAAACAAACCTAAAATTCATATGGAACCAGAAGGGACCTGCTATAGCAAAAGCAATTTTGTACAAGAAAAACAAAGCAGGAAACATAGCAATATCTGATGTCAAGATATACTGCAAAGCAATAGTGATAAAAATGGCATGATACTGGAACAAAAACAGACACATGAATCAATGGAACAGAACAGAGAATAAAGAAACATCCACAGACACAATTCAAATATCTGATATTCAACAAAGTCACCAAAAGCGTATGTTGGAGGAAAGATAGCCTATTCAACAAGTGGTGTTGTGAAAACTAGTTATCTCTTTGCAGAAGATTGCAACTGGACCTTTATCTCTCACTATATAGCAAACACAAAATCAAAATGGATCAAAGATCTAAACATTAAAACAGAAACATTTACCCTACTGAAGACAAAATAGGCAAAACAGTTGAAGACACAGGTGTGCATATGACTTTGGTAAAAGGAACTGGGAATACAGCATTCCCTGTAAGAACTTCCTTGCATCTAAGTAAAATGAAGTTCTTGTTAGGAAGGGAAAGAGATATCATATTTGAGCTTAACAAGGTTCAGATAAGTCACATGTAAATAAATATCTGTATATAACAAAACATATGCATAATGAGAACAAAAATGATGGGAGAATTCTTAACTAACCCAAGAAGTAGAGGAGGTAGAATTTGAGCTGTGACGTGAAAGATGAATTGGATCTTTACAGGACAACAAAGCAGGAGGGAAGTGTAGTCATCACCACATTTGAGTACAGGAAGAGAGTTAGGTATGGGGAAGAGTACAGTGGGAATTAACTTTGACAAAGAAGATTCAATGCTAGAAATAAAGCCATCTGACTGACCTGAGAAGAGGTGAGTCTAGAAAAAGGACTATACATCCAGGCTGCCCCGTCTACTTGACCAGAATTTTCTCTTTCCCTCCAAGCAGCATGAGGATCTGTTTTTTTCCTCAAAGAAAAAACTGTATATCAAGGAAGAGCGAAAAGAAATGGCTGAATTGAGCAAGGTCGGGACTGGTAAGACAGGAACTGCATAGGGTCAAGGAATGAGATAACTGAGAAAGATGAGGAGAATGAAATGATTAAAGCCAAATTCAAGGACTGACTCAGTGTTTTAGTAAGGATAGAGAATGCAGAGAAGAAAAACAAACAGAATCATGAGTAATACCCATAGAAAATAGCAGCTCAGGATTCAATTCTATCTCAGAAAACAGAGCAAACAGACGCATGGATGATAACTATATAAAAATCAATTAGAAGTTACTTTTATCTCAGAAGAGATGAATTCACTCTTACATTCTCCCCTTGTAACGTATGCAGTCTAAACACAAATCCAAAATGCATTATATGTCAAGGAGAGAGGAAAGACACAAAGTAAGTTTTCATTTTTTAATTATCATGCTATTTTACCAAAAAAACAGAAAGGTGTGATTAAATGTGTTGTCCAGGATGTAAAATCAATATAGCCTACAGAAAATAACACTATAAAAATCATCTTCTCTTCATACAAAGAACCAAAGAATAACATAAAATTAAGCATTACCTGAATTTCTAAAGAGAATTAGGTGTGTATACATGCAAATCAATGTAATACATACCTTCCTCAATAGTATGTAAAATAAGAATCAAGAGTTTTATCATTTGTATTTGTAGAATAGAAAATGAACTTAAATAGTAAACTTAAACTTTAAATTAATAATACTAATATTATTTAAATAGTAATATTTGAATAATAACATTTCTTATATTTTACTTGGAATTAAGTAACTGTGAGTTTATGAATTACTAGTTCCATTGTTAAAAGAAATGTCACAGGGCATTAGAAATTCAAAGAAAACAGAACTGAAATCTCCCCTATAAAAATAATGGTTCTAGGGCTGGGGATTTAGCTCAGCGGCAAAAGTGCCTGCCTGGCAAGTGCAAGGTCGTGAGTTCGGTTCCTGGTACCGGAGAAAAACCAAAAAAA